ATCATTTCCTTTTTGAGTTCTAGACAGGGGCAGAGCTGGATGATGGTTAGGAACAAAGGGCATCGACTTCATGGAGAGTTTATGAATGGAAATTGTGGAGAGTCTGTGGGCACGATGGAGAGAAAGTCTGAGGTTTCAGGTTGGTGGTGGAAGTGCAAGCAGCCCCATGTCAGCATCCTGCAATCCGTGGCTGTGGCTCTGCCATAGGTAAGGCAGTGTATATCTGGGCTTCTCCCCGCCCCCAGGGTTATTCTCTGTGGGGTTTCTTTGAGCCTCTCTCATTGCTGAGGTGTGAGACAGAGGAGATGACAGACAGATTTTCTTTACAATAGACCTTTGAAACGTTTGAAAGCCCTGTTTTTCCAGCAGCTAAGCTCTATATGTGTTTTCTGGAGGGGTTGGTTTTTCTCTTCCTTTTTTTTTTCTTTCTGTTTTTTTTAACCAGTGTATGCATGAGGGTTTTATTTTTCCTTCTAATGCTTCCCTGTAGAACTCATCTGCAGGACAGATGGCCCACTGAGCTGCTGGGACCGTCTTTGCAAACACCTGTCTGAGACAGCTGGGAAATCAAGGAGGAATTCTCTTTTCATTCCCTTAAAGAAAAACAGCATCCATTCCTGACTTATTTCATCTCCTCTTTCATCCTCCCGGCTCCTGTGTGCCCCAGGGCACTCAAATCCTTGGGGTCGTCAGCTCATGATGTCTAAGTTATCTGTGTCCCCAGCACATGTGGGTGCTGTGCATGATGGTAGCTGTGGGTCTGCAGGGTTTCTGCCTGAGTGTGCTAGAGTCACGGACTTACTCTGTATGCTGCTGCTGGCTGCAGAGCAGCATTTCTTGCCTGAGGTGGAGCCTATGGCTCGGGCTCACTGTTGGTGTGTTGCTGCAGGTGGTAGTTAGCAGAGCAGCAGGGCTGTGGTTGTTGGATTTAATTATTGCTCCTTGAGAAGCAAACAGAGCTTTTTTTAATTTTCTGCCGGGGAAACTGAGCCCTTGGCAGCTTTGGATTGCTGTATAACACTTCCTGTGACACAGAAAGAAACTTTCCTGTTCTGTCTGCAAGAGGAAATTGGAAGCCTATGGGCAATGAGGAGCTGGGGGACACACTCCTGATGCTACAGCTGGGCCCTGGTTCATGGTGCTCCTGGGGATGTGAGTCCCGTGTGCCTGGCTTGTTCCGGGTGAGAAGTCACACAGAAGCAGCCTCTTTGCTTGGTTGTATTGACTGTGCCAGGCTGGGCAGGAGCAGCAGCCCCATCACACTGCTCTGATGGTTGAGTTCTAGTTGCCTTACTGCCTGGGCATCCCGTTATTTTCAGCTAGATCAGGTCTGATCCTGTGTGGTCTCTAAGACTTCCTGACTGCAGAAACTACTTGGGTGTTTCTTTCTGCTAGGCTAGTGATCTGTACCTTTCAGTTTGGGCAAGGGTTGCTCTGTATTCCTCCCAGCAGAAAACATGACTGATCTTGTTATTGTTTTAGGATCTGCTGGTAGCCCGGAATGTGCAAAGCCACGTGCTGCAGCTGGCATGGAGCAAATCCACTGGGAAGTGGGGAGAGTGGTGCTCTGGCAGAGAGGTCTTAATCATTTCAAATCCCAGCTCTAAGATAGAACTCTAGGAAAGGGCTGGCTCGCAGCTGCAGAAACACAACATGGAGATGGCTGCACCTCTGTTGTTACCTCGACCAGGGGGAGATCTGCCTCAGGTCCATCACGGATACCCCTGAACATGGTGCACCTTTCTGTGTGCGAGGGAGTGTCTTAGATCCCACTTACTGAGTCAACAGTCAAGTGTTTGCAGGAGCAAAGGTGACGAGTACCTCTGTGGATGCCATCTTTAATCTCCTTGTGTTTCCAGAGCAGGATATCAGCTGTGATGTTGTCAGCAACTGCGAGGCAATGCAACACTGTCCCTCTGCTGGAGGGCCATAGTGAGGCAGGGTTGTGAGACACTGAGATACTTTGGTGATGAGTCTCTTGGAAAATAAAAGAAAAACTTTCATGTTAATTTCCACCAGACAGCTATCTTTGCCTTTCTGACTGATGTTGCTCTTGTTTGAGTCCTCTGATCTGTGCACCCACTTCTTTGCTGTGCCCCTGTGTTTGAGCCCAGACTTTGTTTCTGTCCACACAGGTATCCCTGGCACAAGAAGACATGGTTTTGCTTGCCTGGCTCAGATCCCACACCTATGAAATGCCTCTTCAGGTTATGTGGGGAACACCAGGGGCTTGCAGGTGCAGTGGCAACCTGTGGTATTGTGAAGGAACAGTGCTGCATCTTGGTGTTAATTGGTGGCTTTCAACTGCTTGGCCAATAAAGATGCTTGGGCATGGCAGGTTTGCTGTCAGAGTTCCAGCAAAGAATCATCCACTGTGTGAGTATAACACCATCTTGGTTAAATGTGTGGCACCAACAAATCACAGTGGGCTCAAGACCTTGGGTTGCCTGTGGCATACTGACTTAGGAGCTCTGAAACCAGCAGCTCCAGCTGCTGAAATGTTGTCATATGCGTGGCTGGAGAATGTGAAGAGAACAGTTCTTGGAGGAAAAGAAGCCCTCTTCCATCTGCACTAGGTGTTGCCCATTGCTGAGGGTGCATAGGAGTTTCCTGTGTGTGCTGATTGATCTGCTCAGCCACTGGGATACTGGAAAAGAGGACTGAGGAGAAAATCAAGGCAGGATGAGTTGGAGGTTCCCTTTTGAAAACGCGTATGCTAATAGAAAACATCCTCAAAACTCTCAGTGCGTCAGGATACATTAATGTAAGTGTAACATTGTTCAAATCCTCGGCATCTTCTGTCTGAATGTCACTGAATTAGTACTAATGCATTCATTAGCTCATTCTTCATTAATATTCAATATTCATTAGACTGGCTCCTTCCCTGGAAGATGGGGATAATGAGACGTGGCATTGGCTGCAGAGCTGTGCCACAGCTGTGCTTAGCACAGTGGGAGCCTGGTTTTATGCATCAGAATGGCCTTCAGTGATTATTTTAGTGGCATTTTTAGCTGGCTTGTGCTGTCCCGGCTCTTGGCCACTGGTTTGCCACAAATTAGTGGAAATTCTTCGTGGGAGAGCAGTGCTAATTTATTGACATCATCATTTCCACCAGCTCACGCCCTGAAGGCAACTGGCAATGCAACTGCTGAAGCCAAATTTTGATCTGTTTGCCTGTGGTCAGAATTGCAAGGCTGCCCATGTAATCCCAGAGCCATTTATCCCTCTTAGCCTACAAATTCTCCCTTTAACCCCCACTGCCTCCCTTTATGTCACGCCCTCAGGATTCTTTGCATTTGAAGATGTCTTTTTTTTTATTATTTTTTTATTTTTTTACTCTTTGTAAAGTAAAAAACCAAAGTGTGAGGGAAGGGAGAGGCCACAGCCCTGCAGCTAGAGGTGCCCAGCACATCTGTGGGGTGAAGGGGCACTCCCAATGGTTGCTATCACAGCACAACTGGGACACTGCATCCTCCACTCTGTTCTACCAGCAGTCACCTTTTGATCTTCTTGCTTCATGCTGCAGTGTGGGAGTGGGTAAAACAGCTTGCAGTTTCTTTCTGTTTCTCAGTTTTTAAGTGTTTCTAGACCGCGGCTGCTACAGGCAGTGACCTTCTGGGAACCCGGGCTTAGACCAGAAAAAGCCCCTCCAATCCAAAAGAAGCAAAGCCTGGAGTAACTGAACTGGCTTGCTGAAAAACATCTTGCCTGGGATTGCTGAAGGGGTCTTGTTAAATACTAGAGCACTGAATTCAGCCTTTACATTGTCCCAGCAAGTTCTCTTAGATTTGCATCACAAAGAGTTATGCCAGTGTGCTCTGAGGTCCTGCAGAAGTGACTCTGCTCCAGCGGACAGCACTGGAGAAATTTTCCAGAGAGGCAAATCCTTTGCGAGACAGCGGGAGAACACTTGTGTGCACAATGCCAACAGACTGACACCTCATTTCATGACTCCCTGAGGACTCGTGAATTCTTTAGACATGAGCATAAATTCTGTTCTCCTGGGACAGCCACGAGAAAGTGCAACTGGAGTGAAGGATTGCCTGTGCTTGATTCCTATGCTTGCTGGGACCAGCTGAGCCATGTCTGCTGCCTGTGGGGGACCTTTCTGCTGCTCTCTTGGGGGCTGAAATGGCAAGTGAAAATATATTTTTGTGTTTGGCTGAGTTTAGATGAAAGGAAGACAAATTAGCAGGCAAGACTTCACAAATCAAGAGTTTCCTGGGTTTTAGGACTGGATGATGATGTAGAGTGATTTTTCTTGACACCTCCGCACTTTACTCAGAAGTTGTCTTTTCTGTCTCAGCTTCTGTCAGTTATCTCTGCCTTGTCTTTTCCTAGCCAGTATTTGCGCTCTGTTTGCTGTCAGATTTGTTTCCCAGGAAGCAACATGTCCTCACAGAGGATCTTGCCTCTGGAATCTTGCGTCTGTAGGGCTGATGTGTTCTGGCACTACACTGGGCTGCAGTGTCTGGGGGGAAAAGCAAACAAATATCTGAGATCTGCATGGCATTTTGCCCAAGATAGAGCTGGAGGGTGTAACGCATGGTGAGCAGAAAGAGACAAAAAGCAGAGCATCATTTAATGACTTCAGTTCCTCTCATCTGGGAAATGTTTAACAACAGTTAATTGCCTTAGTGTGCGAAGAGGCAAAGAGGTACCATGTTCCTAAAGGGCCACAGACACTGCCGTGCTGGAACGTACCTTGTTTGATGGGCATGGTGGCGATGGGTTGCTGGGTGGACTAAATGGTCTTGGTGGTCTTTTCCATCATTAACGTTGGTTAGGTCCGAACAGCTCACAGCACATGCTGGTGAAGCTCAAGGCTGCACTCAGTGCATAGGGACGCACACAAGGCACATTATGGATAGCAGTATGGTGCCCACGCTCACACAGCTCCTGTGGCAGAGCTGATGGCAGAGGCCGTCTAGGCAGGGCAGCCCATTTGGTGCTTCCGTGGCCACACTGCTGATTCTTTATTTCCTCTCCAGCAGGTCGTGGTGACAGCTGTGCCGTCCTCCTTGCAGACCTGGACAACTTCCCCACAGCTGGGATGGGCAGCCCACAGCTCCCTACCTCAGCACCAGGGCGATGAGGAGCCATCTGCTGGCCTAGCAGAAGGGTTTTTGTGCTTTTTTTTTTTTTTTTTTTTTTTTTTTTTTTTTTTTTTTTTAATTTTTGTTTTCTGAACCCTGTGAGATTTCATGTGAAAACACTTCCTACAGCCTCGCAGCTGTGAGCCCTGTGGGCTGGAGGCAACAGCTCTCCCTCTGTGGCCAGGCCAGCAGGAGAATTGTACCCCAGGCTGCCCTGCAAGTGTGGGGCCCGGCCCCACAGCATTCCCGGCCAGCGTGGCTCAGGCTTCTCCCCTCAGCTCTCCCAGCAGCGGATCGGAGGCCTGTGGCCCACCCACCACCATGGCAGCCAAGCAGCCCCCACCGCTGATGAAGAAGCATAGCCAGACTGACCTGGTGAGCAGGTTGAAGACACGCAAGATCCTGGGGGTCGGTGGCGAGGATGATGATGGCGAGGTCCATCGCTCCAAGGTGAGAGGCACTGGGTCACCAATGGTGTAGGAAATGTCCCTGGTCCCACCCTGGGATGCTCCATGCTGTTCCCTGCAGTGATGAGGCCATTGCTGCAGGGAAGCAGCCAGCAGATCTGTGAAATGCCCTCCAGTGGGTAACTAAAGCACGTGTCACTTTATTTTCTGCAGCCTCTATGACAAAACCAGGTCTACCAGCTCTGCCCTGTAAGGGCTGCCACAACAAAATTGTTGCTGCCCTTTAGCAGGGCCAGGCGCTGTAACCTGGTGGATGCACAAAAGCTGCCTGAAAACACCTTTCACAGTAAAGTACTGAGTTCTGCCTTTAAGTTGTTTTAATCCATTGGTGAAATGTTATTATTGAGACACCCATTATCCAGCTCAGCACCAGCAGAGCAAAGCCCAGCCAATTACGCTGCTCATCACATACCAGTTACCTGTGCCCTGCAAATTGCAGCAGTGATTCAAGAAACAAAGTGGCGCCTCTCTGAAGAGGTCTGAATTGCAAATGAATGTGCACAATCTGTTTCAGCAAAATACCAGAGTATGGAGAGTAAGGACTCATCTCTCAAGAGCCCTGTCCCAAGTGCTCTCTTGAGCACTGCCTGGCTCCTGCCCTCCTACGAATCATCCTGCACCTCTTTTCTATGGTAAATTCCCAAGCAGTTCTGCCTCTACAGCTGTGGTGGTTCATCAGTGAGGATCAACAGGCTACATGTGGGAAGAGGCAGATCCCTACTTACCTAGTAGTGAGAAACAGAAATTAACATTCTGTTAATTAACATCAGCCCTACTGATCCTGGTCAGGAGCAGTGAAAGCTGCAGACCCTGATGAAAATCAAGTCAGTCTTCAGCAGATTTTGGGACTAAGGGATTGTAAAGGAATTTTTTTTTTTTTTTTGTCCTCCTATCAGCCCTCCTGAAGATAAACTCCCACCTGGGGTTAACGTGTGTCTTCTGGGATGACAAATGCTGCCTAAAGGCTGGGGAAGCATCTGCTCAGTCACCTTGTGCCTTTTCTTTGAATTTCAGATTAGTCAAGTCCTGGGAAATGAAATCAAGTTTGCTGTCCGGGAACCCTTGGGGCTCAGGTAAGACACAGGCACACCTCAGAACTGGCCCATTAGAGAGCACCTGGCCACTCTTCCTGTCAGCCCTTGTCCCCAACACCATATAGCCTCACTGCTCCCTGCAGGGGTATCTCAGGGCTGCAGAGCCAAACTGGTCCTGCTTTCTTCCCCTGTGAACAGCTTGAATGACATCAGCTCTGGTCTCTTGGCAGGTGCTGGAAAGTGTGGGGGCTGTACAGGACCAGAGGTGCTCCCTGTCCTCTTTGTAAAGTCCCTTCCCAGCTCTGTGTGTGCAGGGTGGGATTTCAGCTCTCCCTGGCTAGTGAGGCTGGAACTAGCAGCGTGCAGAGGGCCCACATCCTTGTGCGGAAGACCTGTGACTGCCTCAGCTGCATGAGGATGGAGAATAACTATAACCATGCAGACAGCCAGGAGTGTGTTGTGAAGCAGGAGTGATATGTTTGTGCTCACTGTAGGTCCTCTGTCTTCCATGCAGGGTCTGGCAGCTGGTTTCCGCCGTCATGTTTTCCGGGGTGGCCATCATGGTAAGTGAGGGCAGCAGCCTAGGCACCACTAGCTCCTAGATGCCACAGTGCGGCTCCTCAGCCATTTATTCCCCTTTCTCTGCCTTCTACAACCACCACTGCTTTCTCCTGAGAGGCCTTTGCCCTCACTGTAACTCTGCAATGAGTTTTGCCAGCAGTGCCCTTGGCAGTTTGTTCCCATTTCCAGAGCCTGTTTTCATTTGCAGGTTCATAAACCTCACACGGCACGACAGCCTTGCTCGTAGAAACTGGCCTTAGAGTGAGCAGCCGACACACTGTTATCTCTCACACCTCCTTAATTTCCAGTTTCTTGGCCAAGGGCTCTGATCACATCAAGCACCACTTCCCCCTGCCCGAGATAGCACATTCTGACAGAGCTGGCAAGGTGCTGCTGAGCCTCTCCCATTCCTCCTCCAGGCCCTGGCTTTCCCTGATCAGCTCTATGATGCCATCTTCAACGAGGAGTCAGTGAGCAGCAAGACTCCCATCCGGCTCTATGGAGGAGCCCTACTCAGTAAGTGCTATGCCAGCATTGGGTGTGGAGCAATAGGGTGAGAGGGCAGGAGGGGAATAAGGGCAGAGAATTTGTTACAATCAGAAAGGTCGACACACTATAGTATACTATAAGGTACAGGAGCATAAGGACTAGTATAGAATAGCGTTACAAAGTGAAAGTGCTCACCCAGCTCTGAAGATCAAGACTCCAGGGAAAACTCTGCAAAGGAAGATCTCTGGTTGGAGGTCCTTTCCCAGTGGCCATCAGCTCCTAAGTGAGGTCTGAGAGGTGCAGCCAGGCTCCACCCCTTCAGGTCACACAGCTGAATTGCCTTCACCTGTGCTCCTGGGGCTGACGAGGTCCTTTCCCCAGGTGCTCAATCAGTGGTTTAGGCTGTGAGTCAACAGTTCCCGTTCACAATGGCATCCTGTGACTGCTGTGCTCGTGAGCTGCACTACCAGGCAATACAGCTGCTGGGCACCCACCCAGCCTCCTTTTAGAGGCTGTCAACTTGTGGTGCCTGATGCAAAAAGGCAGCTGGGTGCTGGCAAGGAGTGCTTGGGGAGGTGGCTGGGGTGGAAGGCAGGCAGCAGGGCTGGGAAGCCCTCACATAGGTGGGCTGGCGGCTGCCTGCTTCCTGCAGGCTACAGCAGCATCTCGTGGGGATGGCTGGAAGTGCAGCCGCCACAATGGGCAAAGGGAAGCACAGCTGCTGGCAGTGCTGCTTCCCCTGCATCCAACCCCCGGGTGCTGAAACGCTTCACCCGGAGCAGGCGGGTGGGCTGCCCTGGCTTGGTGTTTCCTGGCCCTCGCAGCAGCTGTGCTGTTTTTGCTCGGCAGGCATCTCGCTCATCATGTGGAACGCTCTATACACGGCTGAGAAAGTCATCATCCGCTGGACCCTGCTGACAGAGGCGTGTTACTTTGCCGTGCAGTTCCTGGGTGAGCAGCTGAGACTGGAGGAAGAAGCGTGGGGTTGGGTGTGGGCTGTGACTCTAGCTCAGGGAGAGGGATTGTACCTAGCACCCCACGCTCAGCTGTCCCTGTGCTGAGTCTAGCCAGCATTACAGAGGGCTCCTTTGCTCTACCAGACAAGGCAAAGATTAAAACTGTCTCTGGAGACATTTTCTCTGTCAGCTGCTCTCCCTTTTCATTCCCCTGCCTCTGGCTGCTCACCAGAGGGAGCTCAGGTAAAGGGAAGATGCCAATTGATCTATTTGCCAATTCATCCAATTGCTACCCTAGAACCTCCTGGCCTTTGTAGCCAGCACAGGTCACCTCCTGGAAGGGTTGCTGAGATGTTGGGTCTGTCCAGAGGAGGCTGTGGTAACCTACATAAAAAGGGAAGGAATTCCAGTCTTAGCAAAACAGAGGGTGGTAGCTCAGCTTGTTTTTTGGGGAGCATATCTATATTTAGCACTTGAAGGTTTTTTGTATTGTGTGTTGGCAGTTCACTAATTATGTTATAAAGTAGCTTGTATTTGTAACAGAAAAGAGATGCTCAGGAAACAGGGAGTGGGCCATGCACATCTTATGGGTGCTTCTACGTATTTATCAGCACTGAAGAGGTTGAACCACACAGCAAGCTTAAGAATAGATCCCATGGTTAACACTTGAGTCCAGGCATCAGACTGCTGGCTGTGTCTGTACAGAGCTAACTTTAGAGAAGTGCCCTTATTAATGGGAGCCCTGTGTACCTGTAGCTATGTTAAGGCTGTGAAATCAATCTACCTAAGCACTTGTGTTGCAGGTTTGCTGCATGTGTGAGGGTGGAAAGCCTTTGCATTCCCAAGGCTCAGCAGGTCTCTCCAAGAAGCTACGTTAGAGGGCAGTAGCAAGCAGGGATGTGCCACTGAGTTTGTTTTCCTCTACCTATCTCTGCCTGAGTTGCTTCCTTCTCTTCCAGTTACCACCGTCTCCCTGGTTGAGAGCAGCCGAATGGCCACGGGTGCTGTACTCCTCCTGGTCAGCCGAGTCTTCTTTGTTCTCATCAGCATTTATTATTATTACCAAGTTGGACGCCGTCCCAAGAAAGTCTAATTCCTGGGCTTTTTGTCATGGGAAGGGTGGGAGGGGGGGTTTGTGTCGGTAATTTTGCATTATAACTTTTCTTTTGTTAGTCCCTTTTTGTTATAAAGTGATCTACTTCCTTTCCACTTACCGGCATGAATCAGTGTGTAACTCGGTGCTGGTGGCATTGTCAGGTGATGTCTGGGGAGAGCAGCATCCTGCGGAACCCCCAGCAGCCCCTGTGCAGGTGGCAAGTGAAGAGCATGAGGTGGGCTCAGGGAAAGGAGCCAGGTTCCTGGAGAACTGGCTGATGGGATCACAGGCTCTGAAACCCTTAAACAAAGCACAAAACAAGAAACCAAATCTCTGTCCAGTGAAGGACTCGTCTGCTCTCTTTGGTGAGTCTCACATGTGCCTCTTGGCATGCATCCTCGTGTGCCTGGCCCATGTCCCTGTTAGCACGTGCTGACTGCTTGTCTGGATGGGAGATTGTTGGGGGTCAGTGCTGCTGAGTTTGCAGACAGCTGTTCTTCCCTTGCTGCTGGAGATGCTAGTCCTGGTTTTATTTTTGCACTGGGTGCTTGCAAAGCTTGGCAGGAGAGGCAGTGAAAGAAACTCCTTGCTTGTTCCCCATGTAGGGACAGCACTGGGAACAGTGGCACAGCTTGAACTATACTAGGTGAGAAGTAAAGGAAACTACTGAAAAAAGCCTGTTAAGCAGAGACATCCCTTTGGTTGGGATGTTTCATGACGTTCCTAGGCCAGCATCCTGTCTCCTTCATCCCAGCACACTTCTTACAGCAGCAGCTTTGCAGTAGTTTTGGTAGTGGTGACTGTGAGGCAGAGGGGATGTGGCTTCAGTTAAGTGGGAACTGGAGTCTGTTGTGAAAGCAGTGAGTTTGTCGGACCAAAGCTTGTCCCACTGAGGTGCTTAGGATACTGTTCAACTGCTACAAAGAACAGCACAGGTGGAGCAGCATATGAAGGCATTACTGTCAATTAGCAAAGGACTGAATGTTCTGTAGAGTTCACTGGCCAGTTTCTCCTACATCTCCTGGGCTTAACAGCACTGGGAGCCCAACTTCTTAGTGCTTTCCTTGTAGATTATCCTTGTCCACAGCTGGAGGCTGCATTGTTGTTCTCTGTGGGACTGAAGCCAGAAGGGCTGCAACAGGATACGGACTTAATGGGCTACTGCTGGCAGGATCAAAGTGAGCCCTGGAACTGAGCTGATATCCCAAAGTCCCAGTAGAAGGATGCCTACGCAAACAGTGCTTGTGTGACCAGCAGACCTCAGATCACTGGTGAGACAGGGAGCTACAGCTGTTTGCTGTCTGGTACCTTATAGAGTTAGAAGAAGCTAGCAGGTAGTTACTGTATGGTGTGTTTGTGTTGTGGGCGTTTAGAAGCAGCTGCCTTGGTGTTGGAACACTGGATGTGATGCATGTGTTGGCCATGCAGTGTCAGGTAAGAACATTGGGAGTAGCTGAACCAGGAAACATTGCAAATTTTTCCTACAAATTAATCCAAGGCAGAGGCAACATCCAGCAGCAGGCTGAACGCTGGAGCTTCCTACTCTGCCAAGCTGCTTTCAACAAGTCCAAAACAGGATAGTGAGCAACTAAAATTTCTATTTAAGAGAAGCCTTCCTGTTCAGGTGGAAGTGTTAGGCTCTGGAGGGAGATCATCTCCCTGTGAGGCAAGAAATGATGACATGCAACCCTGAGGGCATCACAGAGCTGGCAGCACAGCTAGAAGGCAGCAGCCATGGCTGCTGCTCCCACCCTGCACACTGGCCGCATGGGCAGCACAGTGCATGCAGCCCAGAGCTGCAGTTGTTGGTATAGGTAAGTGAAGCGTGAGTCTTTGTGTTTTGGGGTCACATGAATGTATACACAGACTGATTGTTGGGTTTAGGGGGTGGGAAATAGCAGTTCTAGGGAAAAAAAAAAACAAACAAGTAAAACTGACCAAGCTAAGAGCAATCTTACAGAAGAGGAAATGGAGGGCCTTCTTCATGCTGTCCTCTCCCCTTCACTTTGGCAGCAGACTGAGGATCTTAGTTGCGTTGTGACTTTGGGGCTGTGGCTGGCTGCCTGATCAGGGTACCTGGAAATGCCAACTAGCAGGTGAGAGAAATGAGTCAGTGCACTATGTGTGTGAGAGCAGCTTTCTTAAAACTTCTTGATGGTTAAAGAAGATAGGGGCACCGTGAAAGCTCTCCAATGGGAGCTTTACATCAAATGAGGTCAGATTCTTCTTTAGTTCCTTGTTGTCTCTTCAAGACTTAGAACAGTGAGCCACTTCTGGTTTTGCCATTTGATGTCTACCTGCAGTGCTGCCAGAAAACAACTGTGGTTGTTTGTCTTCAGCGATAAAGACTGGGGGGGAAAAGGGAAGGGAATGCTGAAGCTTTTGTACTGCATCCCTAAGGATAGCAGAGCTGGGATCATGGCTGCAGGTGACAGCTGAGTACATAACTTGGGATCAAAAGCCTGAGGCATCACTTGAGGCTCTGATGTGCTGAGAGAAGATCTCTGTTGGCCTCAGTTTCCTTATCTGTTAAAGTGTGAGAAAAGCTTTGGACTGATGTCATCTCCCCAGGGACAGTTTGCAATTCACCTGCTTGCATGCATGTAGCGCCAGGCAGGGCTGCAGGCCATGCTCTCCAAGGGCTGTGCTCTGAGCAGGCACAGGCAGGACTGACCCTGTTCCATGGGGGAGAACCAAAGCCTTGCATTCCTCGAGCCCTCGCTTTTGAGGGTGAAGAAAGCTTACATTTACGGAACTCTCTGCATCGCCTTATTTACGCCTAACCACCATCTGGCAAACTGGAGCTGGTGACAAAAGAGAGGCTGTCTGTCTGTCTGTCCTAAGCTGGCCAATTCTTTCTGGTCAAGGGTTTTTACTTGGGGGGAAGGGGAGAATGGGACACTTGAGTTTATACCTCATTTTGGCTGCTGTAACTGACTTTATTCTTTTTCCTTTGGTAAGAAAGTGACTGTACTTAACACCAAGCAAATAGTGAAAATTAAAGCCGTTTCACTTCACTGTCACAATATCTTTCTTTTATTTTTTACTTTTTTTTTTTTATTATTTTTTTAAGAAACGCACACAAAAACCGTGGAGTGTTTCAGCCTTGTGTTCTGCTTTATATTACCAAAAAAAATTCCTTTCAATATAAAAAAGCATTACAGTAGGGAATACAGGATAAATTAGCTCCACTATCTAATAAAAAGAACATTTACAGGTTTTTCTTTTAAAATAGATTTCCAACATCATTATTTCACACGCAGCCCTTTCCCCAGGCATTTGCGACGGTCATTTGAGCATTAAATAACAGCTGGGGGCAGGATGGGGGGCTGCTCTCCACTATTCCCCCCAAGGTGCATAGGCTGTGCTCACTGCACGGCAGCCACAGCCCCCTCTGCTCTGCAGCCAGCAGCGACTGCAGCTTGAGCCCCCAGATTCACCAGAGCTGCTAAAAACAAATACAAAAATACAGCTGCTTCTCCTTTCTACTCCTCTGAAAAGAGAAAAACTACTGTACAACAGAGGGGGTGGCCACATTACCATCGGACAAAAACAACAAATTGACACGCTTTGCCATACAACAGGAGTCTGCCTTCTGTGCTCCCTTGTTCATTAACTGCCCCTGGAATCAACTCCTGCCTGTTGCCTACTTCCACAGGTACTCTCAGACTTGCCCTTATCTCTACAACAATCTCCATTTCTCATTTAAATGTGCTGCCTGGCCTTTGCGGTGACTTTAAGCTGTGCTCCCAATGGCACAGCTGCAGAGAATTGAGGTCTTAATTCAGAAAAGAGCGGTGGAGGATCAGAGAAGCTAAGAGAGGGGAAACAACTGCACAAAGACCAGAACACTAGAAGAATAAAGGGTCTTTTGGAGGTATAGGGACAAGTGATAGAGAGAGAGAGGATGTGAGCTAAAACTAAAGAAAACGGTACAGAACTGGGAAAGCCAAAGAGAAATAAGCCTGCAGCGATCCTACCTCAATCTTCTGAAGTATTCCTGCTTCTCTTGCTCACCTCTATCCAAATTGCCATCTGCTCATGGGGTCGTTCTTCCCCTGCCAGTGGCTCTATCAGAACAGCCACTGACACCAGCTCCTGAAGCAGAGGTAGAACAGTTACGCTTCCTTGCCTCTGAGTTTGGCTCCGGTGCAGTGCCCCATTCCTGCAAGACCAGCAGATGCAACAGACTTTTCCTATCTTAAGAGCAGCACCTGCTGTTTAGTGAAAATACTGCTGGTTTTGGCTAGCAAAACTGTTTTCCTTCATTAAACGACAGGCCAGAATTTAATGCTAAAATGCATCATTAAATACAGGTCCAGAGGGAAACCACTCAGAAAAGCTTTCCATAAAGTTTAATGCAACATCTGAGGCCACTCAGCAATCCTGGCCTCGCTCTCCTGCTGGAATATGCTGACACAGTGCAGGTGGGCTGCTGCTCTACCTGCCCCAGCTTTATCCTGCTTTTCTCAAGTGAAGCCTGGAAAAGCTTTATGGCCTCTTTCCAATTCCTTTGTATCCCAATTCTCCAGCCAGGATATTTAGCCAAGATCTTTGTTTATTATGGACCACTCTTTCTTCTGCTTTCCTTCCTGCCTTGCAGCCTGCACATCCATTCACTTGCATCCGCATGGCGGACACAGACCCCATGGTGTAAGATACCTGTTGCTGCCAGGACAGGAGGCTGCTGCTTGGCTCCTCACTGCTGCCTTCATCCCCCTTTCCTTCCTTGGCAGTGGCTACCGCTTTTGGATGGACTAGTTTAACCCTATATAAAAGTGCTCCTTAATCTAAGACTATAAAAAGATGTAAGCTAAACAGAAAAAGGTAGCCCCTGCCATCCTCCTCCAGACAAAGCGAGTTTGGAGTCAGGGAGCAACCAGAGGAATGACAAAGCCAACAGGGGCTGAGGCTTCCAGAGGATAGAAACCAGTGACCTGTTTTTGTCAATGACCACAAACACTGGAGAAGCAGCTGGAGTAGTCACAGCAGCTGCACACTGAATGCTCCCAGATCCTGCCTGGGACCTCAGCTCCACCTTAATATCTCTGACCAACATCCAGTCTTGGGCATGTTTCTCAAGTTCATTTCCAAATGATTAAGTAGATAACAATCAGCAAAACATCAAACTATCTTAAGGGAGGAAACGCTCTCAACTAACAGGCAGGCAAGAACAATCCTGACCTGATGCTTCTGCTATGAGCCCGTGGGAAAGCCTCAGGGGAAATCCCCAGAGCAGAAAGGAGACCACCAGACAGCATAAGGTAAACAGCATGGGAGTGGCTGATGAACCTCAGGCTCATCGTGTACTATGCCTGGAAATCCTGCTGGAGCAGTAAAGCTTATAAGAATCCACTGCAAATATACAGAGGTTGCTCCAAAAGTAATGCCTCCTATTTATTTCCATGGAAACTACAACAAAGAGCACAATAACAGTATTTGATAGAGCAAATTCTCAGCTACAAATCACTACTTTTCAACATAATCATTACCATTAGCCGTGCACCTTCACTAGCAATGAACAAGAGCCTGCATGCCACGCTCATAAATATCTGCACCGGTGGAGGTGTCCCACTGTTGCCACTGCTCAAATGCACCACCCACCACCTCACTGTGCTCACATCCACTGTTTGGTCTCCAGAAACATTCAGCAAGTTGATGAATGTCAATGGGTGCCATGTTTTTCCACAAGGATGAATTCTATGACACGCCTTTGTTTCATAGCACTGGCATGTCTGACACCATCTGTCAAACTGCCCCTTCCCCTGCCATCTGATGTATAGCAATGGCATGTAATGGGATATTGATGGGAAGGTTCAACCACTACTGCCATACTACCAACATCCGCCTCTGACTTTGTGGGCAAATATAATACAATAGGAGGCTTTACTTTCAGAGCAGCCCTCATATACTAATAACACCACCACAGAGTGGTTTTTTGCAAGGATGAAGTGAAAGGCAAAGGCTGACAAGTGTTAAACACTATTGCCTCCCCTTTCAGGAAGGTGGCAGAATTAGATATTCTTGACCAGAGTCATCATTTTTCCCAGGGAATGGGAACACAGCAGGGAACAACTTGCTCTTTTTTTTTTCCTTCCCAGTAACACTGAACAAAAAAGGAAAAATCAGAAAGGCAGGCCCCAAACTCTTGACCATCAGCCAGCCCTGGATGAGTCCCGTGTTTAAGTGAGACCACTCTGCCCCCATTTAGGGCTCCAGAGAAAAGCCAGACTGCCCGAAGCGTTTGACTTCTCTGACAAGTTTCAGGCAGTAGGGGCAAAACTTACGTACAAGGAAGAATGTGTGTTTTCACTCTGTGGCTGGGAATTATAGCCGGAATCACACAAGCAATGACTGCCTGTTTCTTAGATGAGCTGCCAGCACCACTTGTCGGGACTGCCCAGGTGGGTTTCCATACTTTGGCCAACGTCGCTGCCTGATGCAACCTTGCTGCCCCTGGGTTGCTGTTCTTCAGTCCTTTGCTGTCTAAATCACGATGAAGCTGCAGATGGTAGGCACTGCTTTGCACTGACAGGTCAGAGGGACAGCTGTGCTTGTCCTCCCACTCCTCCCCATAGGCTCCATCTGTCCATAGCATAAGTGGCTGCACTGGGCTCCTGCTCCACAGCTGCTGTGGGTGGCTCTGGGCAAGGCTCCGGTGTACAGTGTAGTGCACATCACCTCAAAGTTCCAGCCCCTGAAGTACAATCCTTTTGGTCATTCATATATTACAGCCCTCTTATTTTTTTTTTTTTCCCCTCCATTTTCCCCCCTATCCCATTTTGTTAAAAAAAATAAAGTTTCTTGTGTGTTTTCAGGTTGTGTTTCGTCTGATATTCCTTCTTTCTTCCAAGCATCATTCCAATGTTAGGAACGTGGTGGTCCGCAGGGTGCCTCTTACTGGATCCCTCGGAAGAGACACATGGCAAAAATCATGGCAAACAGCTAAGGGGGGAAGAAGAGGGAAGAAATAAAATGTTGAACGGTAAGAAACAGCTACATTTTCCAGAAGAATGGTGCAGGGGGGCCTTCGTGGGGGCTGCTGGGGCGATGCCCAGCTCCCTCTCCTTTTCACAATACAGGCACTGGGGAAAGCACCCAGCGTCTCTCCAGGACTAACATCTTTCTGGGGCTACCCTGTTCCACTGGAACACCACCAAAGAGCTAATGTGGGATGATAATGGAGATGCCCCTAGCCCAGTACAATGTCAGTCTCTAAACTGAAATTTTTAAAGCAAAGGCACAGTTTGAGCACATTAACCATAGGAGTCAGCTTGCTGAGATGCAGCTGTAATGGGAATAAGAATCATGCCCTGGGGCACACAGTGAGGTTCACAAAGCCTCTGTGGCCAAAGTACCACGGCTGCAAACTCTGTGCCATGGCCAACACGAGGCGGCACTGCAGGCTCATGACAGAGATTATTTCCCTGCCTCTTGTGGCAAGGGACCAAGTGCCCGCCTCTTTCTAGGCAATTAAAACCACAAGTGGATAACCTGCTAGCACTCTGCAGGAGCAGCTCCCTGTCTCGCTGCTGGACATCCACCAACGCTGCTTTTATGATCAAACAACAGTACCTCAATGGCCAGCACTCCAATGGCCAGGGCTCCTGCAAGATACACGTAGGTCTCAAAGGAGTTCAGGATCACAGTGTAGCAGCCCTAGGAGGGACAGAACACAGTGAGATACACATGAGCAACACAAGCAGTTGTTCCCTCAGCACAGCCCCCCAAGCCCTCACTGAGCAGGAGGAACCGTGACTTCTTGCAGGACAGAGAGGAGCAGCAGGGGAGAGGCATTCCCTCTGCAAAGGGAAGAGACTAAGCACAAAGAAAAGGGCCCTCTGGGCACATGACAGGCAGCTGTGGCTGACTGGGGATACAGGCTATTTATTTAAAGCCAAGGCAGGAGATTCTTCACTTGTAATTCAGTCACAGCCAGCAGCTATTTCACACACTGGGACCTTTTCTTTGACCCTTCCCTCTGCAGGCACATGGATGAACACCTGCTCTTCTGGATATGGGAGAATTGATGTCATGAAGAATTCAGGGCCATGCACTACTACAATCCTTCCATTTATGCAGCACAGCTACCATTGGCTTTAATGTAATTTCTTATTGCTTATACAATTTAAGAGCATGGAGACACTCTGCAAAGTTTTCAGTGTTTCAGGAAATCACCAGCTTATCCTGGCCTTATTTCTCCCTAAAATCCTCACTTCTCAGCCTAAAATTCCAACCCACTAGCAAATTTCTGACAATAGGTCATACATAAAGAGAAAAGTAGACTGAATTTTGCCTAATGAAAAATGTACCGCTCCCGCTCACTAAAAATACACATGTCCCATCCATTTATCTGGGATGTCTCAATCACCTGATTTTTTCTTTTCACCTAAAAGGAAAATATCTGAAATGCAGAGCTGGCAATGACAGTTACATACTGATGTCAGACTCTGCTCACTAGGAGTGAAGCAACCAGGAGAAAGCAAGGGAAAGAGAAGACTCATTCATGCTACAAACCCAGGGAATGAAGATGACTGGGGCAGCAGCACTCTTGTCATCATGAGGCTCTGCTCCTGTTGTGTTGTCAGCCCAATTTTCAGGAAAAAAACATCCAGCCCAGCAACAAGATGTCTGGGTGCTTGCTAGAACTCCAGCCTTAACCCAACTTTCAGCATGCCCTGCTCAGCAGGCTGAAAACAATACTGAGTACAGATGTGGCAAGGACTGTCCCAGCAGCCTGACTTTGCTCCAGCAATGCTTGAATACAGCCACCAGTTCTTTGGGAGCATCTCCCATTTTATATAAATGCCTCACTGTGCTTGGTGACATTTGCTGTGCACACAATTTCTCCCACTGCCACAGTGCAGGACAAAGGCTCACAGAAAAACATCTCTTCCCATAGAAATGGGAGGCTTCAGTATCACCACTTAAGGAAAGCAAAAATTTTAATCTGCTTTATATCCCTGTTTCTCAGAATGCATTTCTTTCCCCCCTCCCTGCTGTTTGTCATCTTTTCTTCTCTCTCACTTCTCCCCATCAATTCATGGCAATCAGACCTGGCAGATGCAGTACGGCGCTGTCTGCTATGATCTCTCACCCAGCGTGCCTTTGCCAACTGTTTCCAGCTGTCTGACAAGGAACAGCTCACCCGCTGCTTCCAAACTCCTTTACTCTCTTTCACAATCTGCTATCAAGTGCTGAAAACAGGACTGCTAGTTAGCACGGAGAGAAAAGGCTTGTACATACAAGTCAGTAGAGAGTTCAGCTGGCTCGCGAAGGCTGCAATAAACACAGTCAAGATCTTTGCTAGAAAATTTCTGAAACTTCAGGTACTGGGGAAAACGTAAGGAAACTTGGGTGCTGGTAGTATCAACGTCAGTGAATTTACTCTGAGTTGCCTTTTTCCAGTCTAGCATAGAGAAGTATTGCCAAGTCAAGAGACCTGTCCAAAGAAATGCACTCTTTCTACTCTAAGTCGTGAAAGGGCAGAAAAACACAGATTTCCAACACACCTCTTTCTTGGGAAATAGACACAATTTTTTTGTGGCTGTTCAAACCTCAATCTCTTGGTTGAATATAGTATTGATGAGGAGCCTTTGTGAACTAAAGTGGAGCTCCTGCAGCAGCCAGTAAGAGCAAATTCTATCCCATCCTCACTGACCTGCAATGGCTTGTCAGTTAACTTGTCAGACAATACTAACCTTTAAAGCCACAGTAAAACTTGACATAAAACTTCTATTCCACCTCTTAAACCCCTGCGAAAATCGATTTCTGCTGATACAGCACAGCAGACTTAACGGTACACAGAATGAAAGGGGACTTATATATCACATGTCCGTGACTTCAAAAGTTGTTAACAGCGTAAGTGCAGTTACATCCTCAGCTACAGTCAGAACAGCATAACCTGCCACTTTCATGGGTAGGTAACCCATGGCAACCACAGCCATCCCTGCTGGGAAGCCTTTTCTCCAGCCATCTGGCTGCCCCTACCTGCCGGTTCTGAAACTTCTCGCTGCCTCGGAGGCAGGCTTGCCTGTTAACAATCATCCCTTCTCGGCTCTGGAGCTTTCGCTGGCAACAAGCCTCTGGTATAGCCTCTTCCAACAAGTGTGGGAATGGAGGGACAGCGTCAAAATCTTCTGGTCCGTTCACTCCACAGCAGGCAAACTGGGGAGAAGAAAGAAAGACAGAGTTTACACTTTGGCCTCAAAGGAGATACCAGACATCTTCCAAAGACCTATTTTTGCAGGGATCAAAGCTTTAGTCAAAGCGGAGACAAAACAACTGTTGTTTCCAAGGAAGCGGATTGCACTTGTACCTTGGAGCTTCTGTTTCATCAAAGCCTCTTTTTATAAAGTCCCACTGTTCGATGTCACAAAGTAGACTCCAAGGTACCATTGGGAATATTGCCATGAACTACACAGGACTTTGGAGTGCATCCAGAATGACTCGCCTGAGATCACCCAGCAAGTCTGTAAAAGAGCCAGCGGTGCAATCCAGGCTCTGAGTGCTCATTCTCCCCAGAGCTAATGACCAGGACTGCTCTGCTCAAAGGCACTGCTAGGCAATTCAAGAAAATTCTCTTTTTAGGATTCAAGTCAGGTCCTTTTTAAGGATTCAAGTCATACTCTGTCTCCTTTCAGCCACCAAAAGGAAATGTCTTTAATGAAGTCCTGAATCAGCATGAAGTGCAGCAGTCATCTTTTTCTTTAAAGATTAAAAATGACTTTTAGTTTGCAGAATCTGACATCCTACTCTTCACTCCTGAACAGCTACGATGTGGGCTGTGCCAGGCAAACACAAGCACACACAACTTTCTGCAGCAGGTAGGCACAAACAACTTGTAGTAGATAAGAAAAATTCCAATGCCAGCAACTCAGCTGATCTTCAGTCCAGCTGCTTAGATCCATAATAACAAACACAACTTTGATGGTGACTGTTTACACACTGAAAATATTCGGTTAGGCTATTCCTGCCTCATCTGTCACCTACAATCTCATTTCACAGGAGGTAATAAGAAGCCATTAATTAGCACCTGTTCTGGCTGCTGTTGGCTGGGAATGGTTTTGAAGTAGTCTCAAAAGTGATGTGTGTAGGGCGAATGCATGGAGATTCTGGCCCATTACAGGCAGCTTCAGAGCTTTCTGTATCCAGTTCTAGAATTGGGCATAGTCAGTCAGCTCAAATCCTTGAGCACTGGCAAACCACAGTGGGTGATAGTCACTGTGAGTGTTACTCTCAGCAACAGGAGCAGTTAGTTGTGGGAAAACCTGGCTGCCAATGAACAGTCACCTCTCTCCCACCATTGCCAGGAGGAGCCAGGAGGTGCTGGCTGAGCACAGCACGAATGGCAGCTGACCATCAGTAGCATGGAACCAGCATGGCCTGACTTACTGTGATCATAACAGAATTCCAAGTGGAGGAGAAGACATCTGTGTCATTGTTCCTCACGTAATGCTTCTTCAGCTCCTTGGTGAAAAACTCTCTCGTCAGCTGAAACACACGGAGACAAGTGGGAATGCAGAGGGTTACTGCCAACATCTCTCTTTCAAGCACTTCTCAAACCTCCCTGTTGTGAATACTGGACATTGGTTGATTTGATTGGTTTGATTTTGTTCTTTTATGTAGACCTCAGAGGAGAAACATGGGAAAAGCCACTGGCTGAACCATTGCTGTGCCCAGGGTGTTTGGTACTTGTTCAATAAAACTGCTCATTAAACATCAGGGAGCGAATTATATCCATATTTGCAAGCTAATGTATACATTTAAAGGTTGATGGGTATTGTTTGCTTCTTTTTTTTTTAATATTGAGTATTTGAAAGTGTTTCATAAGTTGAAATGACTGAAGTAGATTTTAGAAAGATCTTGAAGTCCAAGCCCAAATAGTAGCTTAACTTACTATGCTTCCTGAAGTCTGCAGTCAAGACATGATTTTTCCCCTCACTTTCATTTCAAACCAGTTAACTTCCAACTAATGTCAGGGGAACTCTGAATTTACTTCCATGTGTGAGAAAGCAGAATGAAGCCCAAATACTAAATTTCCTTGGAAGGAAAAGGAATTAAAACACGTGGAACGAATGCAAAATGTTCAAGTCAACTCACAAATCAGAGAAGAGATTGCTTCCCTCACAATGCTTTGGAGTATCTAAACTCACCCACACACGAAGAAAAAAATCCTCTTTATATTTCCAATGTTTAGATAATTTTCCTAAGGTCAACGATAAAAACTAATGGAATTTAATTTACTCCTGCTTACATTTATTGTAAAATAGAAAAAACAAACTAACATCTCTGCTCAGAGACTCCTGAAACAGTTAGACACCTTGAAAATACATTTATGCAGGATTGCTGTCTGGAGGACCAATAACCATGCAAACTTAAAAGTCCTGTTAAATTGAGTACTTTGATTCAACCTTGTGCCCTCTCTATCACTTCAGGATGAAAACTTCAAGACATCCCCCTCTCCATGTTCCCAGTAGGCCCTGACTTGTGTGGTCCCTTGTCTAAAATACCTTCTGATTTGTGATCCACACAGGCACCTCTACACCAGCACAAAGCTTGGGTGAAAGGGATTGGACTCTGCTGGATATAGCATTATTCCTGTGTTATATATTTGCTGGACTGGGAATTAAGCTGCCTGAGAAAGAGCCTTTTTTTTTTTTTCTTTCCTGTTGTTCACAAAGCTTGCATATGCACTAACACAAACTGCTACAAGTTGGTTTCAAGTTCTTGATACACAATGTGAAATACATACACATACATATGTATGAGACGTATAGGTGGGCACAAAAGCACAAGCACAAACTTGACCATTTCTTTTGTAACTATACCACAAACCTCAAGGAAAGCCAATAAGGCCGCTGTGATTCTTTAAAAGAGCCAGAATACCACTTCATATTGATTTCTCTTTTGCAGATACAAAGGCAAAATTTAATGACTGCATCAATACTGGGTAGTCACAAAGACTTGAACGGCACAGGGAGCTAAATCTCATTACTTTTTGATTAGATGGGCCGCTAAGTTCCTAAATCACTTTTATGAGACAGATTTTTAAGTTTTTAATTTTTCTTTTTTTCTTTTCAACATTAAAATACCAGGGAATCAGAAAGGACTGAAGGACTGGCATTTTCCTTTGGGAATCTGGTGCCCTAGGTTTGAAGATGCTGAAACCTGCCCTCAGTCTTCTTTCCTTCCCTCTCAGAGCATACTTCACCCACCCAGCATCCTCTCCTGCAGAGACAGCAGCACATTTTTCTGATGCTTGTCTGTTTCTGAAGTGCAGGCTTTGAAACTGATATTACAGTTGGTAATAATCCCAGCCGGCTGCCTTTGGCTGGGTCTAAAACAAAAGAGTCATTTAAATATAAAGTGAAACCTTTATTTTGACAGCAGCAATCCCAGAGGAAATTGTTCAGAGTTTGTGTGTGATTTTTACGAGACTTGGCCCAAAACAAAGCCTAGCTCTGGAAAAGTATGTCTGCCAGGGAAATAACTGATTCCATTTTGCTGCTCTTAAATTGTTTGTCCTGAGGACGTGAAGTTCAAAAAAAAAAAGAAGAATCAATCAGCAAAGGTAAACTGCTGACAAAGTGGGACAAAAGTCAGTAAGATAGACCTTACCCATGTCAACCTAGGGACAGACTGTGCGTTTTCTTTAGTTTTCCCCCATGTCTGAGGAAACAGAGCTATCAGAAACCAAAGCAACTTGTATTTCAAGTGTCAAAACTGAAGATGAAAATGCAAACATTCTGAGTCTGTTCAGAGCCCTGCCACTGGACTCACGTGTCCCTATCACCCTGTGCTTTCTTGCTTGCTAATGCAATTCACCAAATCTCTCAGATGGACAAAGTCATTCAAGCACAAACACATTTTGAAGAGAATCGATCTCAGCCACACAAAGTTCAGGTGTGGTCATTAGCTCTGTCACACCGAAGGCCTGAAAAAAAGTCCAGCACCCTCCACAGCTCTTCCCTTCCACTCCTCTGGCACATGGAGACCAAATCCTGAATACAAGTCGAATCTCTCTTCCATGGACTCTAAGCGATGCCTCTCTGTTGTTCACATTATTTATAGAGACTGAGATAACCAGTGTTGTTGAAAAACAGGGTTCTCTGCTGCCCCAAATTTTCTTTGTGAAGGAAGAAAAACTCTGGTACTCCCACATTCGATTAACCACAGTCTTCCTCTTCAGAGATTGCTTTAAAGCAATAATGTGGGAGTCCCAGAGGTCTTGCATGGCGTATTAGCTCATCACTGCTAACATCACTTTCACTCACCTCGCCACCACGCTGTGCTTCACCGACTTTTCCTCTCATGTCCAATCTCTGCAGAAAACATCTCTTTCCTCCCTTCTGTGTCTTAATTTCTCTTACTCCCACAGCTATTAATAATTTAACTCTTCTGAGTGTTGGGAGCTAGTTTGCATGTAAAAAACTACACAAGAGAAAGTTGCACCAACCATCATCTGGAAAGCAAACAGAGCGTATCCCTTTTGTCTCACTTTATACACCCTGTGTGGCCAAAGCCATAGGGACTGGTGCAATGACCACGATGGGAAAGCATCCGGCAGCTCTACAGAAAATGTAGGTTGCCTAAATGTGCACTTACCACTGCAAGCTTTGAAAATAAGTCATTACACAGGGAAGAGAAAAGCACATCCTATCCTGACCTTCTGTGGTCGTGGAAGGATGGAAAGTTCAACCCTTCGTCCCCACAGACATTCTGTCCAGCCATCAAGCCTCACACCAACCCAGCAATGACAACAACATTAGTTCTTAGTAGTTACCAAGCCAGAGGAGCCACCACCAAAACACATAGCAACAGCAAAGCAAGACTTTGTATAGAAGAAACCTTTAAGAGAAGACAAACCACAAGAATTTTCAGACTGAGTTTAACTTCTGAATAGAGACATCTCCAACTGCTGGGATTCTGACATCCTTCATTTCTCTCTTTTCTGCCCTTCCTGTCAGTCATTCTGACAGGGTGGGAAGCTGGTGACGCAAACAAGGAGATAAGCTCAGGAAAGATAAAATATTTTGTTCTCCTTCAGGTTTTGACTCACAGAGCATCACCAGATGTCACAGAAGTCTAGAATAACCACTGTGACCTTATCTGTGAGCATCACATTGTCACATATCCCATGGTCACCATGGTACTGGAAGAACACAAGGCTTTTCGGGATCCTTGTGGCTGAGGGAAGAAGGCACAGCCACTCCACATACAGGAAGAATTGTGCCTGTCCAGTTTCTCACTCCTGCTCTAAGTTCCCCACATATCACTCACTGGGATCGCTTATACCTCCTCCACAAACACTGTACCTGGGTCTGCAGGGCAGTGCTGCACACAGACTTCCTATGTGTGCGGTCTGCTGCTCGTGCTGTAACAGAGGAATCCCCTAAAACCTCCTAACAGCAGAGCTGTAATGACCAGAGCACACCAGACCTCCCGTGCTGAAATCTACTTACAGCGCTGTAGCTACTCCCACAAAGGCACAACCTCAAAGCCTGAGCTGTAATGGAGTTCCCACACTGTGCACCAAGTGCTACTCTTTCCCAACTCTTCAAATCCAAGGCAAAGACAAAAGACCACTGACTTTTGGGAACAAAAAGGGCAAAAAAAAGGAAGGAAATAAGGAGGGGGGGGAAGAAGAGGGGAAAAATTCCTCCTGCCACCTTTTCCCAGACTATCTCACCACACAACAGCACACCACTTCATTGTGAGCTTCATAATTCTTAATTCTTTGCTTATCAAAATCTCTTTATATGAAAACACTAGAAGTGTATCTTGGCTCAAGAAAATGTTATCACTGTTATCACTGTTTTACAAAGTCCTCCTTTGCTCACGTTACATTTCTGTGATGATCAGCATGGGTAAGGTGCTAAAAGCTCCCTAACTAGTGGCAGGCACCAAACAAACAAAATAAAAACTAACAGTCACCAGTGACCACTGTTACTAACTGATGTCTTTTCACAGCCATCACTCAGAGTCACATTTCAGAAGTGAGCTGCCTTGAGAAGGATGAGCCTTGTTCAGCCCAGCTCCTCTTTGTGTGCGTGTTGTCCTGTTTTTGGTCAAAAGCCACAAACTCTTGCATGTCTGAGAAACATGAGACCAAGCTTACTGCTAACATAGGAGAGGGATGATGGGCACTTAATAACATGCTCAGCAGCAGTGTAGAAAAAGGCTACATCATATGAAGCTGTGCAGAGAAGGACTCGAAATCTGTGAGCAAGGCTACATGAAAAAGAACTCTGAATGGACTCCAGAAGGGCCAGGGGAGATTCAGTCAGAGCAGGAGGGGAGGCATATCTTGCAGGCAGAATTGAAAGGAATCTGGCAACTATCAGAACATGAAAATTCAAGAAGAAATATTAGACAATGCCCAAGAGAGTTTCTGCACTGCAGACAGAGGAAGCATTGGTTCTGCTGGGGAAACAGGAGGTTTCACTATTAATATTAATACTAAACACATGCTATATTGCAAAAAGAAAATAGTTGCTTTTAACCTTAGTGTGGCATTATTGCAAAACTTTCCCCTGATGGAATGTGCAGCTGGTTTGGCTGTGAAAGAATTGAGAAGACTAAAGTCTTCAGGATTTAAGTAGTCCCACAACATATATATCCCTCGTACGTAAAGCATCCACCTTGCACATAGCAGCCTAACTAGCATTGCTGGCAGTTCTGCAGACTGTAAGTAGTAAGGAAGCAGGTTTGTTGGTATTTGAAACAGTTACAGTAAAATGAATCAGGCACTAATGCCATCCTCCAGCTGGGTACAATCCCACTAGGGCTCAGAGCCTGCCCACCATAGGATACTTACATTTTCTCTGAAGATAAAAGCCAGAATTGCAGCTGAAAGCTCCGCCAGGAAGATTAACAAAATAAACATGAAGAACTAGAAGAAAGAAAATGGGGGGGGGGGGGGGGGAGAGAAACAGAGAGAGATTTTATTACGAGAGTACAATAGGCAGTAGGAACACAAGCTTTTACAAGTTTTACCACAGAGATGGAAAAAATAACGAAAAAAAAAAAACCTATGACAATAACCTGGGGCAGTCACAGCCATCCTCTGACCCTGCCACAGGACATGAGAGCCCACAGCATGTTCTGCCATGTTCTAATGTGTAAAGTGGCCACTAGTGTCCCCTGATGAATCGGCACCAAGTTAAAACAGTAAAGCCTAGTTTGATGGAAAATGTTATACGATTGTGTAGATGCTCATATAGGACTGAACTGTCCTGACACAGTGAGGGGAAATGATGTAGGTAACCCATACCATGCATACACATATATATGTACATCTTTGCTCATCACAATCATAAACAGCTTCACTGTAATATAACCACAGCTCATTTTGTGTTTGGAAAAAGGTAGTGGGACATACACTGAAATACCTGGGACAAAAAATGGAATCTTTTTAGAGTTTATCTCAAGGCAAAATTAGCCTTGGTTAGAAGTATCCCCTTCCACACAATGGGGCTGCACGGGGTACATTAGTTACTCAGCTGCTATGAAACAATATAACTGCATGCTGATATGGTACCCCTGAGAAACCACACTGAGAAAAGCCACAGCCAAATGTGGGGGCCCCCAAAGGCAGCACAGAAAGCTGATCCACAACTTGAAGTACAGTTTGCAGAAGAAAACAGTGTTGAAGGGAACAAATCTCCCAGGAGAAGAAAAGAGAGAGCTCATGTTTCAGTCTGTCTTTAGGACTGATCCTAAGTTACACTGATGCCTCATTTCAGTCCACAACAAACACTACAAGAAACAGACAGGGATGTGTTCTCTAGCATCCTTCAAACAGCAATTGCTGATGCAGAGGAACACTGAGGGGAACAGAACAGAAAGTGGTAAGGCTCACACGTTCTCCTGAATCAGCATTTCTAATTTTCACTTCTGGAGACAAAGCACTAAGTTAGGTCAGACTTACAGTTCCTCAAAATGGGCATTTTTATGACGCTATGGTCATACAAAGACATTATCAATTGAGAAATGTAAGGATTCCAAGATTTAGACCACAGGCTAACATGATTTTAGCAGTCTGAGTGGCAGTTTGGAAGTGACTTTGGGTTTTGGTACCATGTGAATAGGGAACCCAGTAAGACTGCTTCATATGGAAGGTAACAAACACATGGTACAAGTGATTGAAACAACCAGCAGAAATAAACACAAAAGAGATCTTGATTTTTTTGCTGCATAAAAAGGCTATTGAGGGTCTTTCTGAAACAGAAGGAAGGCAGATGGGGCCAGAATTGCTATTTAAGGTCCCCAAGCAATGATTTATAAACAACGTATGGAATGCCATGCACTGTGTACTTTGGTAATGGAGAGAAAATTCCTACTACCAAATTGGAATGAGAAAGTGTTCTTTTGGTGTCAATTACCAGAGCTGTAAGTGATTTTCCCCCACCGGAACAGTGCACGCACTAACCTGTCCCATTTGTCTTTCTGTCTCTGCAATGGAAACAAAAGAAAAGCATCCCAGGCTCAAATGACAAACAAGGCAAGTCACACAGGGAGGGCTGCTAACAGAATGCTGTTGCTTCACTAGTTAACTAGTTGAACTAGTTAATTCTATAATTTATTCTTACTGCCAGACTTTTACATGCAGCTTCTATTTTTCCTGCTCAGAGACTATTTTGTTTTTAATTTCACCACAGGAGGGCAAAGAGCAAGTGATGAGGATGAACCATACTTTGCAAATCCACATCATCATCCATCAAGGGATCTCAGCATAGCCACTGAGAGGTCTAAGGTGGTGATCAAGTGATTAATCTCATCACCTTGCTAATTGCATTTCATTTACTGATTGCTGGAAGATACAGTTCATACGAGCTCCAGCACAGATCTGTGCAGAAGTATAAGCAGCCATCTCCAGATTACCTCTGATAAGGTTCATTATCATTCCCAAACTGATACACACTTACATTGTGCATTACAGATTTGAAAAATAGTTACTGTAGAAAACACAGAAGCAGGCATTGGAGGTGATGAGAAAAAAAGAGATGGATCATCCGTGTTTTAGAACTTGCTCTCATTCTGCATTTTAAGGCAACACAGCATCTGCTTATTATGTCTTGCCTCACAGAATTAAATTAAGCAATTACTGAAATACGAGCACTCTGGACAGCCAACTGGTCAACGCAGTGTATGGGACACAGCAGCTTCACATACAAGCCCATGCCTGAGACTGGGCACTTGTGTAAAGGCACCCTACTCATCCAACGTGAGGGTCTGAACATCATCCTTAGAAATGGGGTCTCCTGTTGTGGATAAAAATCCTGTCTTGGTGACAGCTCCACAATTGTCGCAAGCTTCCACAAGTCAATGTTTCACATTTCTTTCCTACAACACACCTACTGTTCCAGCTTCAGTTGTTGCAGAATGAGCAGTCATTGCCTTTAAACGCAAAGGACTTGTGTTTTCATGTTGGAAAGCTGTAGAGGCTGCGGTATCTGTATTACAAGAGTGCAAAAAAGGACATCTACCCTCACAGCTAAGCCAAATCAAGCTAACACAGACTTCTTTTGCAAACATGAATTCAGTCTCCTGTGGCAAAATAAAAACATTCGCACACATTTTGTTTTGTACACTCAGTAGCACTCTGGATTCTGATTTTTATAGTGTTCTTTTACAGCCATAGGGTCTTTAGGACAACCCAGAATAAAGCCAATCCTGAATTCTCAGGCCCACCTTTGTTGTATTTTGTGAGCCACATCCAAATGCTGGAAAATCTAGAAACATTTCACAGCCTTGTGCTTAATGCAGCATGCTGGGTTTCACAAGGATTTTTTTGTTGGTGTGGGTTGTTGTTCTTTTTTTCCAAAAGACAAGCAGCTTAATGTAAAATAAAAGACACTGTAAATACAGAAGTCAGAACCTAGAGAACATGTATGTGTGCATCTGTCTTGTCCCTTCTATCCTTTATTTATATTTGAACCAAAAGCTTCACATATATATTATGCATCACTGTGAAATCTCACTCAAGCAGCCCTGGCTCATGAATTCTTTAACAGCTTTGCAAGAAGACTTGATTTGATCAGGCAACTTCTCCCTAAGTACCACCTCTAAAGCCAAACGTTCTCAGTTCTGCAAGCGAGCTCCCAGTCTCACTGGCATTTGCTCATGAATGGTTTGCCCTTTCTATGTCTAAAACACTCCCATTAGACTTCTGGTTGCACAGATCTTTTGTGTATTTTAATGTCAGCTGGTCTGGCCTCCCAGAAAACAGAAATTAGTAAAATATCTCTTCTCACTTGGCATCAGCACAGATCACTGTGCAAGTGCTTTGCCGCTGTTGGACACCGGATGACAGGTTGAGAGCTGACTTTGACGTCTGAAGCTGGAATGCTAATTCCTCATCCAGTGATTACTTTCAGAGTTCCTGCTAGTTCCAGGTATTATCTCATGCCCATTGAAGTCTCAGATTCCAAGTATATAATAAAATAATAACAAAACTAAATAAATAAAGCAGCAGGGCTCAGAACAATTTCTATGAGTTAGAAATAATAGCCACAAGTTTGAATGCACTGGAGCAAAAATAAAACACTGGGAGGAATATTCAAATAACTATTGACCTCAGTGATGCTATGTCAGGAAAGTACAGCACAGAAGTCCCCTCTTCCAGCTGTGTCCTCTATCTGTATGCTGCTTATGTAGTCCAAACTCAAAATCGCTCTCTCACATTCACTTATAACCAATACTTTTCATCAAATGTAACTTTTAGTTTCTTAATCTGATTATGTTAGGCTCTGAGTAAACTCAGGCTCACTGGGCCTGATTCTTCACATTTTGTGAGGCTCCTTTTGGCAGGTTTCCCTGACTTGACAGGTGATATATTGAGTTTTCTGATTTACTTCTCAGATGATTTACCAGCGATCCTATCCACACAGGCTTCCAGAGAGGGGCTCTCACATGCTGGTTATAAAGTCTAGGGGTGGGCATGCCAAGTGCTACAGAGAATTCACTTCAGTGGAGCCAGGCTGAACCCTAGGAAAAAAAATAGCTTTGTTTTTAAGAAAGTGGACTTTCCTGTTCTGCTAAGATACAAGCCTCTTTTTTACTGTGAAGCAGCTGTGCAAGACAGAATCATAACACAATAGTGTAAGATCAACATTTACACAAAAATAAAAACAAACTTGCAGATCCTGAGTAAGAAACAAAAGGCCACATTTGACAAAACCACTGAGTTTTGTGTTTTAACACATAACTGATAATGTTTTCTGCAAATAGATAATGGCTGGAAACCCTGCAGTATCAGAACTTAGGGCAGGGGTCAGAAAAACTGATTTTAAGCGTTATCTAATGACTAGAAGGAATGAAATTTAACTCCTTGGGTGGAAAATTGCCTGAAAAGAACAAACCTGTTCATTTCAGGAGCAGACCAGGTTGCATGAAGGATCGACTACCCATTGAGAGCTGAAATATAAGGACATCATCCAAGTTCAGAGCTGGGCATTTTTGCTGTGGGGCCTCATTACATAGATGCTTCACTCTATATGTTCTCTCTGCTTTGTTGTGAACCAGTAAGAAATGAATCTACAGGTGGAGCTAATGGTTTTAATATAAAAAGTATCCAGGTTTTGATCACTTTCTATATGTTTTTGAGACAAAGCTTGACAAAATCAAAATACAGCTCCAGATTCAGACTCACAAGACTCAAGCCTGCTTCAGGAAGGAAGCAAATTCTCTGTACTTCCAGCTGTGTGTAAAAGTGTTCTAAGTGTACTTAATATCTAAGGGAACAATGGCTGCAAAAATAGACACCCATTCATGCACTAATTGCAGCATCACTTATCTAGATTAAGAGTCACCCCATTCTTGGGGAGCACCAAAAGGCTAATAAAGTGCAAGGACACTTACAAAAAGTAGGAGACATTTGTTCTCACGGATGGCACCGCAGCAGCCAAGGAAACCCAGCAGAAAGAGCATTGCTCCCATAGCCAGCATGATGTATGCTCCTGTGAAGAGCAGAGGGTTGGCAGCCACGATCTCTCGAAAACCTGTTGGATCCACGATGACCCAGATCCCAACTCCTAGCAGGCATGCTCCTCCCAGCTGTCACAGCACAATGAGAGGAAAGAGGGGGAAAGGAGGAGACAGGTCAACATTAACAGCTGCTGCAGGAATGCTGGTTTCATCAGTATGTTTTAATCAAAGGTGTTTTGGAAAATCTGTTTCTGTGGCAAACATTCTCTGCTGAGCAGGTGACTGCTGACATGCTGTTATGCTGCTCTCAGCGTTTCTTGCTCACTCAATGAAACATTAGCAGCAAAAGCATCTTTTCTTTCTTAACACTTCACTCTACCAACTTTTGATTCTCTGCCCAATGCTTGAAAGACTGAGTCTTGAGACTCTGCCACAACTGCAGGGGATGGCCCAGTGAAGAGGCACAGGGGAACCCTCTCCACCACAGTGGCGCCTTGCCCCAGTTGGGGCAGGATGGCTGGGTGTTCCTACCCCTCCCTTCAAAGACAGGAGCAACATGGGTCACCAGGAATGTGGTAGAAAAATCCCTGTTTGCTAGCAAAAACCTCAGCAGGGCACCCAGGACTAGAAAACAATTTCTTCTGCCATTCAAGGACAGACCATGAATATAAGTTACAGCTTTCCTACTTTGTCTTTCTTGTCAAGGACAACCTTAATGCAGACAGCAGTGGCCACTGGACTGCCTTACTCAATGTCTTAACACCTCCAGATGCCGTAAATTAATATCCTTGGTGATTGCTAGTGCAAAGCTGAGGGATCTTTTGTGGTAACTTCACTGAATTACAGCCTATTCTGTTGGCTGCTGGAAAAAGAAAGAATCAAGATATTCCAAATACTTACAAATATAAAAAAATTGAAAAGAAACATCAGGTACTTCATGCAGCTCAGACAGTCTCCCTCCATGGTCTTCAGGCCGCTTGATCCAACTCTTCCTGCAAAACACCAAAACAATTTTAGCACACTCAATTTTATTTGAATGACACAGCCCTATTTCCATGTCTATTCCCTCCAGACCCTGTGGAGTTCATTATACAGAAGGGCTCATTTTTTACCTGAACAGAGTACCAAAGCTCAGGCTAATAAGAGATAATGATCGCTGCTAATTCCCTTTGCATTCTTCCAGGTGTAGAGGGGAATGCAAATAGAAAGGTTGAAAGAAAGCTTTGGCGTTGCTTGCAGGGTGAAATGCTGGGGGGAAAAAAAAAGTCTGCAAATGATGGCTAATTTTATTTTATTTTTTTTTAGTCCCTAAGGTCTGTCAAGTTGAAGAAACACTGAACACACCTGGATATTTCAAATCAAGTAAGAAAGCTGTACTGACACAGGAGCCAGAAGCTGTGCCCATCGGCTAGTCAAACATGCATCTTGGACAGTTGGCTCCATACAAGCCTCCCTTACGGAATGAAGCCACGTGAACGAGGAGAATATTTTCAGGAAAACGCTCAGACATTGAGAATGACTGTGGTGTGTGAAAGAAAGAGGGCTTGAGCAGGCCATCCTCAGCTCAGTTCCACACACTGGGGCACACCACCTGCTTGTCATGCAATGTGACATGTTACTGGGCTGCTGAAGTCCTGTTATTCAAACTGCATCCTGCACAAGTCTTTTCAGGCAGAGCCTGTGGATCAAAGCTGGCAAGCTTTTAATCACAGGAAAAAAAATGTCCATTTTGAATCTCGATATGGTCTAATTCAGACCATAAAGGGCTTAGGACAGTATTTGTATTGGAAGAGAAGCTACTAAGTTTGACCAGGTGAAGTTGCATTGGAAGAAAGTTCCTGTCCCCAAAAATTTGCTGTTTAATGAAGTGGCTGCATCTTCCAAAAAGTAATTTCACCTCCCATCACCCTACAAGTACAAACGAATACATAAAATAGTAAAATTTTCACTGAAACAGAAGTTAATGAAGTCACTGCACCTTGTACAGAAGGAAGCACACATATGCAAACAGAAGCATAATTTTGCTAAGCTCTCTGGAGAAGCCCGCCCAAAGCTCATGTGCTTCTTAGCCCATCTCCTCCCCTTACACTGCAGAGAATGTCATTCCCAAAGCAGACATGTACCCACATCCGATTATATGCTGCTAATTAAGCACTCTACAATCCAATTGAAAGGAAAAAAAAAACCAACAGAAATTACACAAGATTTTCACCAGAACAGAAATAAAACTATTTCCTTCACTCACAGAATCACAGAATGGGCAGGGTTGGAAGGGACCTCAAGGATCATGAATCTCCAACCCCCCTGCCACAGGCAGGGCCACCAACCTCCCCATTTAATACTAGACCAGGCTGCCCAGGGCCCCATCCAATCTGGCTTTAAACACCTCCGGGGATGGGGCATCCACAACCTCTCTGGGCAGCCTGTTCCAGCACCTCACTGCTCTCTCTCCTTTGCTGTTATTGTTAAGCCACAGAAACTTTGGAGTGCTGTCCTTCCCTCTATGGCTATGGAAACTGCTCTTCTTTAACCAGAGGGGTGAGAAGACTTCAAGTCTCCCAGCAAGAGGATGCTGAGGTAAACAGTCAGATTCAGATTGGTTTAAAAATCAACGCAGTTCCTTCCCAGTGGCAAAACAGATAGAGAGCAATTCAGAAGCTGCTGTAGGCTATGAAGCACATGTATAACTGATCCTCCACAGCACCTGAGCTTTCCTGGGCAGCACTACAGTGTGCCTTTGCTGGCCTGGGCTGTTCATGGAGCCCCTTTGTGAGTGGAATCCTCAGTACATCCAAAATGCCAGTTCTACAATCCACCTTATTTCTGGAAGAACACCAATTGGAATTGGAACCTGAGAACCAAGGCAATATTTTCCTCTTCAACATTTGTTTCCTTATACCTCCTACATCTAACTCTTCTACCCAGACAGACTCATAGCCTAGCTGTGAATGCAGGAGATGAAGTGGGGCACAGAGCTCTTACTTGGGCCTGGAATAGATGCCCACATCTTCCTGAGGGTTTAAAGCCACATCTGCCAATATTCCAGAAAGAAGAGAAGATACGGATACTTCAAGAGCTCCAGAATTAGTGACACCCAAATGTCCCCATCACCACACAAAGGTTATGCTCCAGTGAAACAAGGAGAGCTAAATCTCACTCTAGCAGCCACAGCCTGAAAATTATCAGAGAAACTTCTAAGTCCTGCTGCCTTGAGTGCTCACATTTAATCTATATCATAGGCAGAAAAAGCGAAGAAAAAAAAAGATAAATAGGAAACTAATTCAGCTGTATTGTGTTACTTTGTGTCACACACACTCATCTCACTGCAGAGACACCACACTAGATAGCAGCAACTCCTGAGTCTTACCCTGTCCTGCCACTTTGCAGGGTTGATAAATCACATTCCTGCCTTGATTCACTATCCATGTCTGGGTCTGCTTCCTCTGTAAGATGAGCTCCCTTGGAACAGTTCTGATTCATGTGTCTTTTCAAAGACAAGCTACCATTTCTTGCATTGCTCCTCTCCACACTGGGTATGTTAAAATGTTTTCTACGTATGAACTAGGAAAGGAGACTAAACATGTTCAGCAATCAGGTCTTGAGAACATGACTGCCAGTGCTGGTGTGGTCATGCAGTCACAGTCATATGGGAGCATTAGAAACAAATACACCCTTGGCTTTGACTAGTGAGGGCTCCCTTGTTTGAGTCATAAATTTTTACCAGTGCTGTTGCTGGGCTCAGATTTGTAATTTCAAAAATTACCAGGCTTCACACAGCAGAGCAACAAATAAACACAACCTTAAGTGACTGCCTCAATACCTACAGCCTGGGGACACCTGCACAGAGCAGCACGATGCACTCTGTCTGGGCACACGGGTCCCCAAACAGCACATGAATACTCACCATCTGGGTGACAGGGGACATTAACCAAAAGCATGATCTGATTTCTTACACAAGACTTAAAACCATTTCAAGTAAGAGTGGAAGCACTCCAACAAACCTGAAATATATTACCATCTTGCTCACATATGCATAGTGCTTTAGACTTGGAATAGTTTATAACTAACATTATTTACAAACAAACTCAAGCAAAATGCAAATAATATTCCTTGCAACTAATGTAATTATTAGACTATTTTACATGAAGTCACTAATCACAAGCTGCAAGAAAATAACTGACACGAAAGGGCAATCCTGACCCAAGAGATGCATTCCTACCCACTTCTCAGCCACACACACAACAAATAAATTTTTCGTTACTCCTGCTGCACACTGTTACAAGTGAGATAAAATCTGAATGCATACATCCTAATCTACCCTTTAAAAATATCTTCTCTCCCCTTCTACAGGCCTCAAATTTGTGAGAGATTAAGTTCTCCTCTGCAAGAGACATTTAATGCTAAGCAAACATTAACAGTCAGAACTGCAGAAGACAGCGGCTGACAGATGCTTTCCCTGGCTTGTCCCATCTCAGATCTGTGAGACATATGAGACGCATTTGTTTTTGTCTGAAATGTAGCTATAAATGTTCCACTTTCTCTTAGGCAGCTTATTCAACAATTTCCCCCTAATACAAATTTTATCTTGGAAAATGATGAGGAGTCTAAAACACCCCAGCAGCATGGCCATGAAACATACCCCAGCTGCTCTCATCAGTTAGGAATACAGTCCAGGTTTTCAAGGCGATGCAATTTTTTGTTCTCCAGCCACCATTTGTTTCCTTCCTTCTGGCATTCATTTTTGCACGCCTTGAAGCTATACCTTGAACTTCACATATCTAAAGGCAGCTGCTCAACCACTCTCCCAAAAACTGCTTACATGCTTCTCCTTGATACCACTGACATTCTCCTCTACTCCCGCATCACTTTCACACTGGACTGAAACCTGTAGTTTCACTTCAATTGCACTCTCACCTTTATCATGAAGACAGACTCACTGAAAAATGTAGGTTTGATATGATCTCTGGATGCCACCAAATACAAAAACCCGCTGCCCCCAGTCTGGGCCAATTTCAAGGTTTAATCCAAGACTAAAAATTTGAGCAGAGTGCTCAGGGTCACATTTTGTTAAGTCCTGAGTACGTCCAAGGACTGAGACTCCCTAGTCTCCTGGGCAGTTCTGCTGTATCAGAACTGTATCTGTATCTGCTGTACAAAATATTAGCCAACAGCTTGAGGAGCAAATGGTGCTAACTTACACCTACCCCCATGTTCACACACAATGCAACCAAGTAATAGAAGATATATTTGCTGAAGCTCTCCAGATTCATTGCCAGACAGCCCTTAAAGGAATTAGAAAACATGGACCAGGCTCTCTTCCATGTCAGTGAATCCATTCCCAGGGACTGTTCCAGTGGATATGTCACTAAAAACATCTCAGAAGCTCTCAGGTTCACCAGTGGTGAAGGACTGCCACGGCCTGGCTTCACTCCACTGCATCCTTTCCTCAGCAACATGGCAACATGCCTCTTAGCTTGAAGGCCTGGAAATTTGGCGCAGCTTGCTTGCCTGCCTTCAAAGTGAATCCTTCTTCCATGAGGATTTCTATGCTCACCACTGGCAAGCAGTATCTAACTCCTTTTAAACAAAAGTAGTTGGGTTCTGCTAAAAGACCTTGTCTAACAGATGGTTCCCTTCCAGTAAACAGAGTATTACTCTTGATAGAACAGAGATAAGGGCAGATTTATAACTAGGAGACTGAAGGGGGATGACCTGCTGTGCAACACCTCACAGGTGACTTCACCTGACAGCAGGTGAACTGTGCATTTCTTATTCCACTCCTGCACACTACAGCTACATCAAATCAACCCTGACAGAAACAGAGAGAGCATTTGAGATGCAGAAAAACTGAACTATAAGCAAGCTTCACCTGAGCAAATCTCAGGACTTGAAGCACACTGTCTTTTCTAGTCTTTAATTGCCTATGTGCCCCATATTTTTCTCTGTCGCCTGGAAGAGAAAAATACGCAATTACTGCAGAAGTCAATAAAATTCAGTCATGTTAAATACATAACTTATTAAAACAGACCATCGCCTTAATTAACCACCTTAATTTAGTGTACATTAGCACTAATGAAGAGCTTTTAATACCCAGCAAGGATCTGATTCCTCAGAATCTCTTTAACAACCTTTGGGGTGTTTTTAATGCCCACAGACCACACGTAAATCCGTAGTGCCGTTATGTATGCACCTCATACCACAACAGCACTAGATTAATCACAGCTGCACTTTCAATATTTTATAGGAGGTTTAGACAAACTTTAATCTGCTGTGACTTTACAGCCCATTTACTGGGAAAATGGAAAAGGCTGAGGAAGGGAGATGGGATGTGTTTCCAGGAGGCTCATGAGGAGCAATGGTCAGAGATACTGGGTGCTTCCCCAGCCACCTCCTGCACAAAGCTGAGCAAACAGTTTTCTCTCACTGTCTGGGAGCAATGAGAGATGAACAGAAAAGCTGCAGCGGTGCCTGCCCTTGCAGCCCCTTGGCTGCTCCTCCACCTGCCCCACTGCCACTACCAGACCTGCAGGCAGGGCAGCTCCCATCCTCCATCAGCGCCTTGGGCCACTAGCGCTCAGCATGCACCTGGGATTGTAGGTATTGTAAGCAAATAATTCAGCCTCCTCAGATCATATGGGAGAACTCGCAGATATTCCAAAATGATCAATAAGGTGCTTGGCCCTCTTTCTGCTCCCTTGTGGTGCAAACATGCCAGAATTTCAGCAGGATCTCTGGAGCGGGTGTTTCCCACAAACATTTGTGAACCTGCCTTTGAAAACTGCCTCCCATGAAGACTTCTGTGAGTAGAAGTCTATAGTTTGCTGTCGGCAGGAAGCGAACAAAGAGTTTTGAGGTGGCTGAAACTAGTACAGTATAAAGCATTTAATGAATATTCATAGCCTTTCTGTTTTGCATTAATCCCACTTATTTTACGTCCTTCCTCTGTCACCATGGAATTACATTTCTGAACAACGAGCGGGGATGGCTGCCCTTTGGAAACATGGAGGATGCAAACAGTCTCAGCCAATTGCCCTGCTGCAAAGTACTTTGGGTACTGCCAGCAGCTGAGCCACACACCCACTGCACCACTGGATGGGCCCCAAATTGGTACCACATTTGGGGGTCAGCATGTTTTCAGAACATGCTATGCAACCATCCAAGCTGGCTGCAGCATGCGTGGAAACCTCCAGAGGGTGGCTTGAAGAAGCTGCAGACAGAATATGAGCCACCATCACATAAGGGAGAGCTCCTTCTGGCACACCAAACCCACCCTCACCTTTTTATCTTTTTCTTTTGTGTGCGGGGAACGCTTTGTCCTGAGCTTTGCACATACAGCTGAGAGACAATTTCTCCAGCTGTTCCATCCTGTGATGTCTTTACCCCAGGACAGCTGCTGCCAGGAAAAGATGCCTCTAACTTTAAAGCAGAAATGGCACTGTGCTATAGAAACCTATCATTAGGAAAATCGCCAGGATGATGGGATTCCTGCTCCTACTGTGCGTGCATATAATTACATCCATACAAGCTTTCAAAGGTCTGTGTGGGAGAGGAATTTTATTCTTTTTATTCCCCTTAAGTCACAATATTTTAAAAGAACTTACAGCACCACAGAGAGGAAGAGCTTGAATGCTTCAGAGGCACCAGCAGGTGCTGTGTCAGAAGGGATGAAAGAGCATGTTTGGTGCCAAACAATAGCAATACTCCATCTTACTCTGCAGCCCTAAAAGGGAGGAAGTCCGTGCCAAACAGACTCACTTTGGTTAATAGCTACGATTTTGTCATTAGGGAGAACTGTAGAAAGTGCAAAACCACCATGCCTAATTGTGACTTGAGCAAGCTGATGCCTCTAATTACAGTCGCTGGGGAAACACAGTGGAAGCTGGAGCTACGGTGCAGGCCAAGCCTCCTTCCTGAGGCCACGCGTGTGCAAGCCGTGCTGCCTCAGCCACTGAGCAGCTGCGCTTGGCACACTGTCCTTGTCACCCTGCCCATGCCATCAGCCACCACAGCCAGCTCCGTGCCAGCACTAGCTTCTCCTTGCACTCACTGCTTGCAGAGCAGCTCTTTGTGGAGACTGTGTGTTGATGAAGGAAAAGCAGCTCAGCTTGAGGCTCTTGCTGGTCTTTGCAGCTCAGAAGAGAGCTGAAGAGCCAGAACAAAGACACAGGAGGCAAAAAGCAGCTGATGGAGTCTGCAGGCAGCTGTATGAGAAAGAAAAGAATGAGCAGTAGGTCACGGAGAAATATCTGACTGGTTTTGGAGACAAACCAGTTTCCTGCATGTTAACTGGTGCAGGAAGACCACCAGAAGAATAGCTTATGGGCGTCCTGGTTTAACTAGTGCCCCTAGCTATTGCCAGCCCCCTTTGCTCACCACATTTGCAGGATCTAGGAAACAGAAACACAATGCCAGCCCACATATCCAGCCAAAGGAGGAGCTGAAGGCAGAAGTCGCATCCTGCTGGATCTCCCCAACAGGTCACTGCCTTTATACTAAGGATAAACACCTCTTTGGCAGCAGGCTCCGTTTCACATCAGACCCATGCAGCAGCTTCAGAAGAAGGTAAAACATTTGCCATTCCTGAACTGGAGCTTGGCACAATCTGTCAGTCCCATGCATTATCCTGTAACTAATAGCTTTTATATAAATAACTAGTTGTACTGGAATTTCATAGTGCTTACATAGCAAAGTCATTGCTGTGACACGACTCCATTACTGCATGTAAATCCAATTAGATCCCAAAGTGCACTGTGCAACTATAATCGGCCCCTGTGGAGTAGCAATGAGGGGACCTGCACAAGGCCATGCAACTAGATACTAAATTACAGTCAATCTACCTCCTCTTTAGTTGCATTAAAATGCTAATGTCACTGTAATACGGGCCCATTTACCACTCATGACTACCTTGCCTTGCAACACTACCGTGAATGAGGATGTTGCACTGCCTGAGAGCATTTAATTCCTCACTGCAGTTGAGCAAGCAAGGCCCTTAGGGGCATTTTATGTCTTAAAATAATAACTTGATTGGTTTTTATAATGCTAAAATCATATGAAGCTGGGGATAGTGTTTATACAAATCTGAACTGCTGCTATAACCACCCTGTCTCATTTCCAAGCAGAGTTCTCTGGACAACTGGACCATGTTCCTCCTGATCCTTGTCTGTTCTTAATGAAGACATTTCAGCCACAAAGCAGCTGTGCTTAAGAGCACACCAGTCACACACAAGAGGACAAAGAGAACTGGACTGAATCCCTTTAAGCTTCATATAGACAACACCAGCTTTGCAACAAGAACAATAATACAATACTTAGCAGTTAAGTTTGCATGATGTGTGCACAGACTACATGAAATCATATGGTGGTAAGATCTCCCACACATATGCAAACATTCTGGATGGAAAGGAAGAAATCCCAGAGTGGGACATAGTCTCCCAAATGTTGCAACATTTGGAGAAGTGCTCATGCACGTGTTTGAAGTACCAGTAGAGCAAGAGGCCACAAGCCATACCACTCCATTTAGTGGAAATGTGCTTACAGCACTATTCAAAACATGAAATGCTCACTTTGGCTCTTTCCCAAGCCAAGTTTAATAATCATGTCTGGCTCTTTCATACTGCCTTTCTCACACAGGCATCAGCCACCCTAAATAAGAAGATCTGTGTACAGAACCAATGCATCTGATTGCTTGCAACTCTTTTAAGTTCTGTTCCTCAAAGGAAAAAAAAAAAAAAAAAAAAAAGAAAGAAAAGATAGCTCACAGGTGTACTTTCCCTCATATTAACCAGAGTACAACAGAACCATATGGAACAGACCATCTTTCTAAACAGATCATCCAAAGATTATATGTGCTGATAACATAATAATATTAACTCTGTTCATGAGATAAGAAAACCAAGGTTAGAAGGGGAATGGATGTGCTAGACCTCCTGAGCCAAAATACAGCAGGCTGCTCCCCGGTCCATGCTGAGAGCCATGAAAAGGATGATTATTTCTGGTTGACAAACTCCACTCTTTTCAAGACATTTTCTGTCCCACAGAGAAACTTACTTAGCATATAAAAAGGGAGGTAGATAACTTTGGCCTCCTATATCTGCAAATACTATCCCCCAGGATGGAATAAATGTCACCCTCAGAGTGGGTCATGCAGCTACATCACAAGCTGAGTGACATTACTGTCACATCAGGTGCTGTCAAGTGTCGAGACTCTCCAGACGTTTGCACAGCACTCCAGACAGTTAGGGCACTAAACATAAAACATAAACGCCTGCCACTTCTTCCTGTAGCTTGATACACCTCACCCTTACGACCACCAGCTCCTTGGTGCTCTTTTTCATTCTCTTCTTCTATAGCCATGCTTTGTTTGCAGCAAATGCCTCGGCAGTTTGTGACATTCGTGACTGTTAAGGAAGGATGCAGGAATAGATCTCAGAAACACTGGGCAGTTGCTGTGGCAACCCTGTCCTCTTCAGACCATGATATCCAATGCTTTAAGAAGTTCCCGGATACTTTGCGGACTTGAGGGAAACAATGCAGCAGAGAAAAATGAAAGATTTTAAAGTAAAGAGGCAATCAAAATGGATCACCATGAGCCACATGGCCTTGCCCTATCAAACAGATGATAACAATCTCTCCTTGGCAAGGAATAGCAGCTGCAGGGCTGTACTGTGAGGCATAGGCAAGGGCCCATGGACAAGGCAGTTTGAAAACCCACACGTTTATCATCTGTTTTAATGCAGAACAGAACTCCAGAGAAGTGGGTTCTTTTCTTTTTCTCTTTTTTTTTTTTTTTTTTTTTTTTTAAGGAAAAGGTGGGAAAGATACCCCTACCCTTTAATACCTTTTAACTGGGGGGACTAGTAATCTTAGTTGCTTTTAAAAAATCCCAAACAAAAGAAAATGTATTAGCTATCCTACCAAAAAAAAATTAAAAATAATTTCTTTGTTCCATC